GCTTGAAGACAAATATAGCAACTTCTTTTTTTCCTTCATTTACATCCACAAACTGTCATCTTTGATCTTTCAAATCAATGATCATTCATAACCAACAAGGTATATGCAATTTTAGTTTTCCTGTCTTTCTGTCAAATGTGAAATGTGATTTCCTTTTTGGTGTGTATATTTATTGACATATTTCATTGGAATCCTTTGTATTGATGTATAAGTTAACAGGTGTAAATTCATATGCGTATGTATAAAGATGGCAAAATATAAAGATATCAAATCCAGTTACATCATGGCATTATAGTTTGTTAGGTGTCATGATTAATTTTTTATATTTCTTTTGGTAATGAAACTGATTTAGTAAAACCAACACCACTTCAAGTAAAACATGTGACTGTACTGGGTTGTTACAAGATATGAGCAGCAGAAAAATAAACATAAATATTTTGTGTAAATATACAATCAAACTCCCTGACAAATGAATTTATTCTCTGTATTAATTCAGAGTAAGGATAAGAGAAGTGAATATTTAATTTTATTTATAATTATGCATAAATTTATGTGGATAGAAGTTTTAAGACATACAAATATAAATAAAGTTATAAAAATGTTTAGGAAACTGATTTCACTGCATAGTACAACTGATCTGTGAGAAATATTCTCATTGGGTGATCCAGGCTTAAGGCTTTGCATCAAACATAAATTAGGATTAATAAATAGCAATAAAAAATCTATTTAAAGGAAACTGTGGAGAAAGATTTATGATTCTTGGTCTATGGACTTATATTATACTTATTTTAAAATATATTACAGACAATAGATTGTGGAATCTCCCATATTAACTTTCCACCCACTTTCAGAAAAATGTTTCCTTCTATAAAACAAAGATTTAACCAATCAACATTTCATTTCAGTAAAATTCAATCTTCTATTGGTTAAAACTGTAGCAAAGTCACAACAGAACCTTTTCCCGCCTAAGGTTCCTGGAGCCAAATTTTAAACACCCAACTCTATATAAACAAATACATGACTCAATTCAAGTCAGTCAGTCATCAAATTTCAAGAGATCTATACAAGCTCCATGTTGTTCAATTTACTGACTCACAACCACTTAAAGTTTCTCAACAAACTCGATGCAGCATTCAAATAACCATTGTCCATCTATCTATCTATCTATCTATCTATATATATATATATATATATATATGTTTCAACCTACTGTGTATATATATATATATATATATATATATATATATATATATATATATATATACACAGTAGGTTGAAACAAATATTCATACACATAAAAAATTGTAATTTATTATACTTCCAACTAATGAATAAACATACTTTTTAATTAACTGTACACAGATTTTATAATAACTAAATATGCATAGCAAACAGAAAAATTTTTGATTTAATAGAAATAAATTCCATTTATCCATGTTAATGGGGGAAAAAAGTATTCGTACAATGCAAATTTCATATTTTAAAACTTTTAAATTGCTTTAATGCTCTAGATTATTCAAGTGGAATATTCTAGAATGTTCTAATAGTGTTATCAGTAGTTATTTTTAGCATAAAAATACAAACAGAACATTCTGTAACTGATATTCATGCAAGAAAGTTATCATCATGGCCAGAGGTAAAGAATTGACAAATTTGCAAAAAAAAAACAAAACTGATTGTTATGCTCTGGAAAGAAGGTAAGAGTTACAGGAAAATCTTATACGACCATATATTCCATTTACTACCATTAGTTCATTCATTGAAAAGTATAAAACATTGAAAATATAATATATTAAAAATTTGTATGTGTACGAATATTTGTTTCCCACCACTGTATATGATGAGAAGAGATTTAGTATAACAGCTGGGAGGATGAATGCTTCAAATACGAAATGAATTTATAGAATCAAATTAAATATGAAATCAAAAGGGTCCAGAAAATAGAATACTAAGACTTTAATATTTCAAGTAACAGAGAAGCCTTTTTTTTTATCCCATCAAGAAAGAATTAAGGAAACAAATATTGAAAATATTAAAGAATAAGTAATTTATATAGAAGACAAAGAAAGAAACATATTAGAGGTGAAAAGAGATTCAGGTGGCACTTGTGTGCCAATAATGATGGCAGAAAATTATGATTTTAAGAATAAAGTGGGAAATATTTCTTTTGCTAAATATAAATATAAATATCTGTCTATATCTCTGAGATGAGGTATTATGATTACTTACATTATTTACATTATTCAGACTGTTATCCTCATCTTCATTGCCATATTCACAACATTTCAGCCATTGTACATTCCAGCCTTCTTCAGGTGATTGGAATTTCAAACTGAACCATTTATTTCATCAACTGGAGTAGACTGTTCTAGTTCCACATGCCATGCCTCTTCCAGATGTCTCAGTTATTTCTCTTTAACTCGAATTTCCATGTTTTTTGGTTCACCACTGCTGTAGCCTGGTATTGGACTCACAACTCTTTGGGTCTAGTCAATGGATCTAACCAATGTGTATTTATTTTTATTTTTCTACTAATCCTTTCCAGCTTTCTAATCAGTATCTTGATGTTAAGATGAAATTCCTCAAGGAAGGCACTGTAGTTACAAGAACATTGTAAAGCAGTAACATGAGGGAAAATAGAAAAATCACGCATAGCTGAGCACATATGGAGGGAAAAGGGAGCTCACCATCCCCTGTGCGATGAGGTTGAAATAATTGACAGAGAGCATCACTGGAAAATACAAAAACTTAAGGAATAAGCACATATGCTAGGCCACAAAAATCTCCTGAGCCAACCAAGCATAGAAATGAATACAGCAGTAATAAGGAGTGCTAGAAAAAAAACAATGAATAACAATGAAAAGTGCAATATAAGCTCTGGTAAAAAAAATGAAAAAAAAAAAATGCAATAATAATAACAGAAAAAATTGCAATATGAGCACTGGTAAAAAAAAAATGGTTACTGAGACATTAGGTTTATAAGACCCCAAAATTCATACACTGATGTCCTCAAGTACATATATGGCTCAGTAGATAAAGATGTTGGTTAGATCCAGTGACTAGGCTCAAAGAGTTGTGAGATCAATACCAACAGTGGTGAACCAAAACTTGGAGAATTGAGTTAAAGGGAAAAGGCATGGCACATGGAACTAGAACAATCTGCCTTGGTTCAAAATTCCAATCACCTGAAGAAGGCTAGAGTATACAATGGCTGAAACATTATGAATATGGCAATGAAGATGAGGATAACAGTCCAAGTAATGTAAATAATGCAAGTAATCATTATACCTCGTCTCAGAGAATTGAACTATTATTATTATTATTATTATTATTATTAAACATTATAAAATCAAAATTTCAGATTGATATTCAGCTAACAACTGTGTTAGGCTATAGACTTATTGATTCAACACTGGACATCTTTTGGAAATTCACCACATTACTAAATGTAGTAAGAATTCTCCAATGCACTTAATCCAATGATGAATACTTTTTTTTTTTTTAACAATTCATCCCAAGCAAGGTGATAATGCCACTGATACACAAGAGGTTACTGTGAGTGAAAGAGAATGAGAACAATTTAGAAGGAACAGGCGGAAATCCAATCCTAAACAGACTGAGGAGTATAAATTGGACAATAGATGAACATATTTACTTGTATTATTAATATACATAGAGCATATTCTGACTATTATAAAAAAAATTTTAATATATTTTTTTCCAGAGATCTGAAAAGATAATGTTAGGTTTAAAAATAAATGTGTTCAAGCATGAAAAAATCAGTTTTATTCTACAAGAAGCCATTAAAAATAAAATATTTTTTGCATTCTATATAACTTTTCTATTTTTAAAATTGTCTATGCAAGATTTTACAGCAGTTCTGGTCATCTACAGAAGCTGACAAGCAAGATCTAAAAATATGAAAGCAAGAATAATTTGTCCTCACAGACAGTAAAATAGAAGAAAGTAATTATTTATGATAAAGAAAAAGAGTTAATTAAAAGGCAAATTATCTCTTTTTTAATTGTTGATTTTTTCTTTAATACAAAAGAGCAGAGAGATTTCATTACTTTTGGTTTTGCGTTTTCTTTTCTTGGAAATTGGAAGACAATTATTTTTTAAGATAAACAGCACAAATAAATAAAAAAAAATAGCACAAAAACAAAGAAACAATGAAAGCCTAGCATTCTGTAGATAGCTTTTGGCCAAACATACCACCAGGGCTGGATTATCCTAAAGCCTAGGGTCTCTGTATTACCACCCAAAATAGATCTAAAACTGAAGCATGACCATGTGTATATAAAAACCTTAATCCATATAAGCACAGACAAAACATAAATAAATTTATTCACACCCACCCACATATATTAGCCTTATTCTGTCATTAACATTTGCTTGAATTCATGAACACTGACAATCCATTTTTTTTCTGATTTTCAATGCACAACAAGCAAATAGTAATGGTAGGATCTGCCATTTCCATACAGGAAACATACAGCATTCATTTGGTTGAAATTTATAAAATCTTTCTTTTAAAAATTTCATGAAAATGGGTTTTTTAAGCCCACTAACTGTTATTGTTCTTTCTAGTATTTGCTTCCTAATATTTTAAGATCGTGTGGAAAGTCAACATCTTGATTATATCATTATTTTTCATTCTAGTTACATGTGCTATCCATTTTAGTTGTTGCTGCTGGCAGAAGTCTTCAAATCTGTGGAGACAGTATGAATTGTGAAATATATATATATATATACATATATATATATATAGAGAGAGAGAGAGAGAGAAAGAAAGAAAGAAATAGAACATATCTTTCGTTATGTAAGCATAACAACTTGTTCTTTTTGTTTTAATTATATTAATTCACTTACAAAGAAATCTTTAATTGAAAATAATTTATGATGGCCCATCCTTCAATATTAGCTCTCACTTAAGCAACTTATTTATCTATAACACCATTCTGGTTGTGTATATGACTAATACACTTATCTATCAAGCTTACAGCCATATCACATTGAAACACTGATTCCCATATGACCACTGAAGTTAAGCAATGTTCAGTCTGGTCAATAACTAAATGGGTGACCACTTGGAAATACCAGGTGCTGTAAGCTTGAACGTGCAGGTGGTGTAATGGAATTGTTTTTCAAGGAGCCAAGTTCCAATTCCATTTGGTTTTGCTATATTTGCTTACATACAAATAACCTTGGGAATGGTATGAATCCACCTCTTCACTCCCCTCTTAAGATTATTAAGACTTGTATCCCTAAAACCATTATTATCTAAAAAATTTAAATAATTAAAATTGCGTATAAGATATATAGATTAAAATGCCATATAGAGGCGGATATGCTGCTAAACAAAAACAACCAACCGACTTTTCTATCTAGGATCAGAGCATAGTAAGTGCCCCCCCCCGATTTTGTGACAGTGAAAATTAGATAATATTAAGTTAGAAGGAAATGAGAAAAGTGAGGAAGAAGAGAAAAGGGGGAAGGGGCGGAGAGAGAAAAATGAAAACTAGGCAAAAAGGAAAAAAATCTACCTATTTATGGGTTTATATATATATATATATATATATATAGATGTAGAGAGAGTGAAGGAACAGAAACAAAAGAAAGAATGATAAAAAATGGCTTGCAGGTTGAATATCAAGAGACATTGAGTGAAAGAGTGAAAAGCAGGTAGAAACAGAAAGGTGTAGGAATTGTGATACATTAAATAAGAAAGAGTAAAAGAAAGATAAAAGAGAGGATGCAATATAAAATATTAGTGCATTGTTTGTGCAATATTGTGTAGGTCCCTGATTAAATTTATTATCAAAGGTGTGTGACAATAGCCTCCAACATTAGAATAAAATGGTAACTGTAGTAGTAGTAGTAGTAGTTTAATTAAATTAAATGAAGAGTGGCAATTATAAATAGTCTCCATTAGTTTAGTATCAACCACTATTATATGTAACTTTACAACACTAACTCATATTAATAATCTCTTCAGTTTCCTCCTTTCCTTCTAACCACAACTTTACAACCACTTTCTTTTCATCTCTGTAATAATGAAGATTGTGTAGTGTAGATAACAACACAACCATACATATGATATTTAGAGAACAAGATATTAAGAAATCTTTGATAAAATTCAAAGAAGAATCTGCAATGTCATTGGTCCTGACCTGGCATCTCAATTTCAGTCACTTTGTCACCATAGCAATGTAACTTTCCTATGCCTTTTTAATATATACCTTTATGGTTATTGTCCTGATAAACTTTCCTCTTTGGTGCCTAGAATTTAAGCACAATGCTAGATTGGGGGCAAGTTCTCATCATTTGACAGTTAAAATGACTAAATGTAACCATAAGTTCTAAACTAACAGTTTCTTTTCTCTCTTTTGATTTTTTGCTTTCCAGTCAAGCTTGATCTTCAAAAATTTAAATGTAATGTCAGTCATTATCTTCTTTCTTCTTAATTTAGCTTCTTTAATTGTTCAAGTTCCTTAATGATGCTTTTCTTTTTCTCATATATATATATATATATATATATATATATATATGATATAATTAGGCAGCAATTGTTCTTACAAATAAGTTTTATTTAAAAGGATAGAAATTCTATGCCTATTGAATTTACTAATCATTTCTAAATTGCAAATCATTTCTCACTAACTGAGTTGTTGTAGATATAAAAATTATTTAAAATTAAGGTTATGCCAAATCTTTCGACATACAAGGGTCATCTTCAGGGATGTGAAAAAGTCAAGTGAAGGCAAGAAAATCAAAAGTGTTTTAAGTCGCTCATTGTTTTGAAAGTGTTTTTGGAATAGACAAAAAATAAATTCAATAGACATAGTATGTTTATATGTATATATATATATATATATATATATATATATATATATATATAGGTACCTTCACAGAAATGCAATACCTAAGGTTTAAAATGAAAAATCTTTCTTGAAGCTTTTATTTTAGTTTTAATTTCAAGATGATAGATTAAATTTAATACTTCCAATAAGCAATTACTTTTTCTGTATTTCAAAACTAATTTAAATTGACTAGAAGGAATTTTCATTTTGAAATTCCTAAATTCATTAATTTTAGTGAAGTTTTTAGCCATCCACAATCACAATGTAATTTGCTGTAAGATATTTAAAAAATAAAATACTTTTCTGAAACTTAATTTGAGGAATATTAGCTGATTTAAAGTTTAATTAATCTGATTTGAAAGAAATATTGCTTACTTTAAGTTTAAAATATAAAAATGCATTTTTAATATGGTGACAAGTCTTTATTTATGGTATTAACAGGTTGACAACTTGGCTGATGGATGGAAGTTTATTTATTTTCTTTCCACGGTGGATATATATGTAAAAACTACTTGAGGAATATAACATGAGCACCTTTTTTATATGATTTTTAACAACCCAGTATTCTTAAAAATTTAGGAAAATATTCTCTATAATCTAATGTTTTATAGAACTTTAGGTATTTTGGCTTAAAATTTACTGTAGTTATTGCTCTTATTTTCTGAAAATGTGTATAGACATCCTTATTTACAAAAAACAGCATGTTTACACATACAAAAAAAAAATTTGAAATATTAGGGGTCACTGATTTGTAATAAGCTTTTCCATTCATGATTAGTAAATACATTGGTTTCTCCACTAATTTGCTGAAAAAAAAACAGAATAGCATGATAAAAAAGGCCCCAAACTTAAAAAAAAAAGTTTTATCATAAGAATGTTTGTTATTATTAAGAGGAAAGACCAGAGTATGTTTTACTATTTTATTAAATTTTTTAATCCTTTCTAGCACATTCAAAATTTTGGTTAAAATCTTGTTTTGTTTGTCAGTGGTCAGCCTAATATTTGCTATTAGTGTTTTAGTACCTTTTTCTGGTAAAAAATACATTAATTTGGAAATTCTTGTAAAAATTAAATAATTGTCAGATTTTAATTAAATTTTCAAGACTTATTCACAAATGAATTAAATTATATTTTCTATTTTTTTTTAGAAAATCTTGGTAAAAATATTTTTTCTATGTGTTACCCACCCCTGTCTTATTTAATTTCATGAAATTTCGAGAAATTAAATTTTGATTGAAAAATTTGTTTTATTAGTTATAAGCAGAACTCCTTTAAGAAGGAAAAAAAATCATCACTTTTCTTTTTCAAACTGTTATTCATTTCCCAAAAATATGCTTCAAATCATGAAATAAAAGATGGCGTTATTTAATTAGAAAAAGCTTTTAATTGCTTTTATAAATAAGATTTATTAAAGACACTATTGTCTTAAGAAAAATTTTTTTTGATGAATAATGAATTTTTACAATTTTATTTTTTTAAAATTTTAATTATAATAATTTATAGCTTCAAATCTTTTAAATTTCTGCATTACTTTGATTGCATTAGGTGATATTGTTTATATAAGTGAAAACTATATTTACTAATGAAAAATTGAAAAGCTTAATACAAATCATTATACACTAACATTTTTAAATTAATTTTTTTTAATGTGTATAAACATGCCTATTTTGAATGTATGGGTGACCATACATGGCATTATCAGAAAATAAGTGTAATGACCATAGTAAACTTAAAGTCAATATTTATTTATTTATTTATTTAGGTTAATTTGTTTTACTTGTTTGTTTTTTTTTACTTTTTTTTTAATTAAAATTTAATCCTAATAAATAAATAAACATATCGCTCCCACTAAAATAACCATTAGAACTAATAAAAATAAACATAAATAAGTAAAAACAAATAAAAATAATCAATCTAAATAAATAAATAAAATAATACACAAATTAAAAACTGTCCCCCACCAAAATAGCAATAGACTATGACAATCAATTTAAAAATTGGACGAATAAATAGGTTTATCTTCCCAGACCAAAATAAAATATTAAATAAGCAACCTAAACAAATCCCCCCAAAATTTTTTACTATGTTAATAAAACACTGAAAACCGAAAAGAATAAATAAATATTAAATAAAAAATGAAAATAAAAAAGAAGTAAAACAAATTAACCTAAATAAATAAACAAGCCACACCCGCCAAAATAGTCACCAGAATGGATTACCCACAATGCACTACTGTCTCATATATATAAATAGTTGAGAAAAATCCAACACTTGCAGCCTGACAATTGCGTCTAGCATGAAACAGCCTATAGCCTCTGAGTGTTGACTTCAATGTTCTTATATATATATATATATATATATATATATATATATATATATATATATATATATATACATACATATACATGGCTATTTTTGTAGTGATTTTATAACATATTTATGTTATAATTTTTAAATAAATAATTATATTTGCTCTACTCTGTATTGAGCACTCTTTAAGAATAGTAATTGTTGGTTATTGGAATTTATTCCGTATACACCAATCATATACTTGATATACAAAATATATATATATATATATATATATATATATATATATATATATATATATATATATGTATATATTGAATAGGCCAATGCAATCAGCATCAAAGTGCACATCCATTGCCATAGGATTTGCTAGGCCAGAATACCCAAGTAAATGTTTTTATGACACATGATCCCAGCATAAATCAAAGAAGTGCTTTATGGACTGCTTAAAAGAGTCTCCTGCATCCTGCAATATAAAAGATCTTGAGTGAGAAACTGCAGTTTGCAATCAAAATAAGTAGAGGCCTACAATACTTCCAAGAACACAGAAAGAGTTGGCAAATGTCGAGCATGCAACTAGTAAAGGGGAAATCTTTGAGTCAAGCAATCCATCACTTTACATGGGATGAATTTGGCAGAGTATGTGTGTCTAATGCATGCCTCATTAGCCACAAGAAAAGTCATTTTGGTAGACCCTTCATAAATTATGTTCAATACTATGTTAGGAATAACTTAACATATGGAATGTGTCAGAAAACCTGCAGAAACCACTTTGGTCACAGTAATCACTTGAAATCCCTCAAGAAAGCTGAACAGACCTTACAAAACAGGCCAGACCCTGTACAAAACAAATTAGTTTACCACATCTGCAATAAGAGTTGCAACTTTCTTATGAAAACTAAAAACGTTGATCAAACTTGTCAGCACTGGTCATACTCAC